TGTCTTTATATATTTAATGAATAATTGACTTAGCAACATGATAAGAGCCATATTACTGGATTTTAGTTGATTATAGAGTGTGGTTAAATTATTACTTTAAAAGGAGGTTGTCTAAAAAGATTACTATTAGTATTTGTATAACTTTATTTTCTTTTTATAATAACTTTTGAAGTTGATTTTATTGGTAGTAACTTTATACATTTAGAGTTATCTTTGTTAGACATTGGTGACCCTTAAAGTTTTATTCTGGTTCTTTAATTTGGTGTTTAAGGCATATAATATGTAAATCTTATATGAAAAGGGATTGAAGAGGGGTTTTGGTAGCAAAAAAGGTAGTTAGCATATCCATATGAATGAATGGAGATGGATGATATAAATCTCCATTTCCATTGGTCAAAAATCATGACCAATGGCCTTCAAGGAGGCTGTCTAAGGCCATATTAGGAATTAAGGTTAGTCTTTCCAGAGAACTTAAACATTAGAGGCTAAGATCGGCAAGTTCAGGTTTTTGACTATGATTTTGGTACAAATTTTGAATCATTTGGAGTTTTTATGAAGAAGATATAGGTGCTCAAAGTCAAGGTGTCAGTTTTGTATCTACTGTCACTCTTTTGGATATAAAGCATGCAAACAAAAAGCAATTAAGGATCGGCAACTAGGATTGGAGAGAGCACTTTTTTGGCTATACTTTATGCATACTGCTTGATTAATTCTAAGCTGGGATGAAGGAGATATTAGAAGTTGAAGTCAACGCTTGAAATCTAAGGAATAGTAAGTGACCCGAATTGCTAGTGGTTGTATTTTGAGCTATATCTTATGCAATTTGATTAGATTTTGGCTAAAAATTTCCAAAAATATGTATTTTCATGTTACTAAAATTTATACATAAATTTTGTGGCATTTGGATTTTGGATTTGTGAGATATGAAGAAAATAGTACTAAGGTGCTTTTGAATTAGGGTTTTAGAGCATCTGCTAGGGATTTTAAGATGCCAAACGACTGGTAGCAAATTTATGGTTGAATTTTTTTGAGATAAAGTTTAAGAATAAATTCAATAATATTTGTAAATTTGACAAAAATAGAAAATTGGATCAAGATATATGAATTTTTGAAGTTCAAAAAGAATAAATCCTTTGCGGGAATATTATATTTTTTAAGAGATTTTATTATAGTTTTAACATTTTATACAAAATAAAGGATTTTTAGAAGTCAAGACTTTATATATATATTGAAGATGGATATATGGAGCTATGGTTAAATTTTGATATAAAGGTGAGCTTTTGAGAAGAGATTATGGATTTTCTTTGGAATTATTAAAAATCTAATTTACTGGCAAATAGTTAGTTATGATTTGATATAGCCAAGAATGTTAGGAAATTTCTAGATATTTTAGAAAGCCTTATGTACAAAACTTCTTAAATATAAAAGGTTTTATTAGTATAATATTTTTTTGATATTTTAGTATTTATTTGTCTTCTACTTTAAAGATTAAATAACTTATTGGAGCTTTCCCAAAAAATTAAAACTAAACTCTCTATAGCTAAGTATTTAGTGTATTCCTAGATAGAAAACCATGCAATACAAAAACATATTTTATCTAAGCTTCTTGTCTAACAAAGTAGTTTAATTATCTCTTTAGTATTTTTTTTTTAAAACCCAATCCTTTAGAAGATGTTTTTTTAAAATATATGTAGCATCCTACCTTATAATTTATTTGCTATCTTTAAAACAAGCAATGCATCTATAGATATTTTAATATTATTATATTAATTTTTTTTTATTATGTATAATATTATTATAAAATTTTAAAAGATTCTTAAATCATTATATATATATATTAAAAATAGATTATTATAATAATTTTGAAATTGTATCAATTGTTCATATATTCATGTTTCTTTATAAATATTTCTAGAATACCTAGCAGAGTAAAAAAATATATATATATATATATATATTTTAAAAGATCTCTTAAAAGGATATTAAGGTTTAAGTAGTAATCGATCAAAAAATGTATCTCAAGTTGATAGAAATCATTATCTTCTGACAAACTAAGGTTTTGCAATACAACCTTTGCAAAACAAAATTCAAGACTATATACAAGTTAGATACCTTTCTATACTAGAGGAAATATGGAGTATTTTTTACCACCACATTATTAATAAAGGTCAATCAATGGTATAGCTGCCTATCTATCTAAAAAGTGTCAATACTTCCTAGTTCAATTAAAACAAAAAAAGATAATATCATCTATTATTTTTTGATCAATATTGTTATAGCCTTTTTCTTTTTCTTTTGACGATATGACTTATACCACATACTACAAACAATTCATTTAGTATCCAAAGCCAATTGGCCAACTAATGACAAATAATGAGTGGCTAAAATAAGCATCCATTGAAAACTATACAATTTTACATAAAAGAATTTGTTATTGGACATAAAAACTAAAATTTTCTTAAGTTGATTCCACTATAGGTGAAGTGCTCTACTTGTGTTTTTTTTTTTTTTTTTTTTTTTTTCTTTTTTCTTTCTTGAAGTTGTATTGAATTAAATATCATACACAAAATTGATTAAAAAGTTGTATATAAAATTAAGTTGTTTGCACAAGAGAATTAAAAAATTATTACAATGATTAAGAAAATAGCTTTCTTTTATGTTCTTATCTAGTTATACTTCTTTTTTGTGCAACTCATGGTTGATAGCTTACTTGGTGTTGATATTTAGAATCAATTTCAATAAAATCTTTTTTTAAACTTTGAAGAATAATTTTATGATAAGAATGAGTTTTTAATGCTATGCAATCTTTTAAACAATTATATTTATGATGATTGAATATAAAAAATATCTATCTAATCTTGGACTTTATAAGTCTAAATTTAGATATGTGAAGTTGTTCAAGAGCTTCAGTATTTATTACAACTCAAAGTATATTTTTGGATAACAACAATTATGTATATGATAATAAATATTGACCAAGTAGTTTTTTTTATAATTTTATTATATTTTGAGCAATCTCTCACAATTCTAGAGCCCCACTTATATACTATTTATTTCTAGATAGAAAAATTGGTTGAGATAAGGTTTTTTTGATAAATATTATATATGATGAAATTTGATATTAATGCAAATTTATTCTTTTTTATATGAAAATAGCTATTTTAGCTCTTTTCTATATATGCAAATAAATTACACACTCTCTCTTTTGTATTCTAATTAAAAAAGACAATTTAATGTTATATCAACCATCTCTATTCACTTGAGTTGTATAGACTTTTTAAAGAACAATTATATCATGGTATTAAATGAGTTTCTTATAATTAATTGTGCAACATTGAAATACATTAATATATTACTTCGTCAACTTGGTGAAGTAGATATTTTTTTTAGTAGAAAGTTATTTGTGAGACTTAGTGATTTTTAGCAAGTTATTTCAATTGTCAAAAACATAGAAAAAATAACAACCATTATAGCATCTATCATGAAATTGTCCTTATGGTATCAATTTGTCTTCCATGCTATCATACAATGTATGCAAAATAGAGGCAATCTAGACTTTGCAGCTTTTGTTGATTCCATTGATGAACAATGGCAATCTCAAGAGGCTACTATGGCTTTGGTTTGCACAACTTGAGACATCAATGACATCCTTGCCATAGTGTTTAAGAAGGTCAATAATGTATCTTTCTAAATCTAAGAAACGTGTTTATAGAATTTTCAATGAACATATTTTGGATTAACTTCTTGCATATCTTTTTTAGCTAAGATTGTGTGATTAATAATAACAAATACATAGTTGAATATTATGTTGCTATTCTTAACAACCTTGTCAATTTGACTCATCTTGGCATCCCAAACAATACAATTGATTTGAAAAAATGTGAAATCTACTGCATTCTACAAAACATTTCCATTGAGAAAGGATTGGTCAAAAACACTCATTTAATAGCAATTGAGATACACCATCATTATGTTTAAGTGACTAAATCACAATATTAAGTTGGAGTGTTCTTTGAATGAAGCTTTTTCTTTGTCTTGAGTACTCTACCACATTCAACAATTCTGAAGGTTTGAGGCTCAAGCATATTGTCCTCTGCTTGTGCAAAATGGTGTTTGCCCATACTCATTTTTACATTGCCATTTCACACATCTGCAACATGATATGATTTTTCCTCCTTGTCACCTAAAAAATGTTCCAAACACAAATCTTATAACAAGCAACATTGTAGTTAGATAATTGATTAAATAATATCATGTAGTAAGTATGTGAACAATGAACATATGGGGCAACTGTGAACACAAGTACATGAATAGCATTCCATCCAGAGTAAGCATCTGGATAACCTAGAATGCAATATGACAAGGTCTTGGAAATAATATCATGTTCTGATCACATATTTTACATCCACACATGCACAGTTCATGCACTTGTATACATATATATGGAGAGAGAGAACTGAAGATAGACAAAATTGAAGCATGGCATGCAATTAAAAACAAAGTTTGAGAATTAAGGATGGACTGGAGATGACAAGGTAAATTGAAGATTAGAAAAAAGAAGAAGGAGAGGGGGGCAAGAACATTGTAGAATTATTTTGGGATGAGGAACTGTGACTTCATTGTAAGGTAGTTACATTTTGTGATAGATGGATGGATGGAACAAGGGGAGGAAGGAAGGGAAGAAAATTGCACCCTTGACGGAGGGAGGAGGAGAAGGACGCAGCAGGAAGAGGCCACTGCGATGCTGGGACATCATCATCCGACGTGGATCACCCCACATTTCAAACCAGAGCTGACCTGGCTGCCTAGCTGGCGACAATGTCCGAGCCAAGCGTATGAGCCCAGGCGGTTGGTTCCCCACTGAATTTGATGACTCCGTGAGAAGTTGCCGAGGTGGCAGCGATTCTAAGGGTTAGTTCTGACCAATGGAAGGAATCCACGTCATCATATGTATTATGTGAAGTCGCAAGTGCGTGTTTTGTGATTCATGCCCATTAACCCTAACACAACCCAGCCCATCCCAGCCCTGCAGGAGGAGTTACTCGCAGGGCCTTCGCGGCAATCAGGACAACCCTTGGAATGGGGGAGCGAGAGTGGCATTCTATGTCACATTGCATTTGTGTAGCCCAGCGCTCGCGATCACCACGGGGCTATGGTGTGCCGCTTTCAAACCCCTTCTCCTGCTTCCAGGCTAGATCGTCGTAGGACCATCTCGGAACTTCAATTCTTCCTCTCTCCTCTCTTTCATGTTTCTGCCGGAAAATTTTCCTCCCTTTCGCTTCCTATTCTTCGTCTTCTTCTTCTCCTCCTCCTCCTGGTAATGTTCCTATGTTTGTCTTGCTCGCTTCTGGCTTCGAGTGAGGTCGGGTTGTTATCATTTCAAGTTTAGGTTTTGACGAGAAGATTTTTTGTTCCACCACCGTAATCGGTTAGAGAGATGGCGCGGGGGTCGGGTAGAGGAAGAGGAAGGGGCCGAGGCAGAGGTCGTGGACGGGGAGCTCCTGCAGTTCCTATTGTTGCAGCAGCTGGTGCTGAACTTGAGTTCCGAGGTCAAGTGAATGTAGAGCACGACTTGCCACTTTCCACGCCTGTCAAAGTTAAGGACTCCTCCAACCTTGCTCCCGTTCTCCAGACCGAGACAATGTCTTCAGCAGAGACACTGAGACCTGATGCGACGGGCGTAACTGTTACTGCACCGGAGTTAAGTGTGGAAGCTAATGATGAACGGCATTTTGTTTCTGATGAGCAGCGGGCGGGTGGAATTTTTGAATTTGGTGATACTGGCGGTACTGCTGCTGAGAATGTCGTTGCCAATGGTACTGGTGCTCTTGCGGAATTGTCAGTGGCAGGGCTGGAGAACGAAGCACTGATTAGTTCTGAAAACGGGGTCGAAAAGATGGATGGTGAAGCGGGAACAGCAGTAGAATCTTTTGGATCCGTAATTGCTGGTTCCTGGAAGGCGGTAGATGCTCCTTCGAATGTATCTATCGAAACCTCTTCGGTTACCATGCAAGATACAGACGAGGTTGTTAAAGAAGTCGTGTCTCTTGGGCAGAAAGTGAACGAAACTGTCGCAATTGACATTTTGAAGAAGGAACATACAGAGGTGGTCAGCGTGGAGACCCTGGTCGAAAATTCCTTGGACATGCCTGCAGTTGCGGACCCTATTTCTTCAAGTATCGAAAATGCAAAGGCTGAGGTCATGGAGATCGCTGCGAATATAGAAGTCAAGAATGTAAAATTGAAGGAGGGAAACGTAACTTTCGATTTAGAATCTATGAAATTGGAAGTAGGAGATGAAAGAACGAACACTGACCTTTCAATTGAGAGGTTGAAGGGAGGAATCAAGACGCCCCTTGATAACGCTGGTAATGTCAGGAGTCGAGTTGAAAAGGACTTCGATGGGGAAATGGATGATACATTAGGTGAGCAAAGCCTTGCACGTTTCCCAACCTAGGGTTTAGGGTACTTTTTGCTATTACCCTTATTTCAGTGTGTCCAAGGGCATTTAGTTGGAATTTATTAGTTTTGGTCTGGTGCCACTGAAATTATGCTGAAGTCATGCTTAACCTCTACGCAAGACATACTCCTTGGACATTCATATCCTCTATAGGGGGTTTCACATTTGCACACCTCTGTCACGGAGTCCTGTTCATGAGGTTTTACAGGTTTCGTCTGCTTTCAATCAAGGAGTATTTGAGATAAATTTGTAGAAAATTATCCCGAAACCGGAGATAGTTGGAAGGCTGCTTTTATCATTGGATTATGATGACGTTGATTATAATGTCGGCCAGACTGTTCGTTAGGATGAAACATTTGTTGTGCTTTGAATTGGAGGGTTTCAGAACATTTGACCCCCTAGTTCTGCCCTGGTCCAGTTTTACTAGGCCTTCTTGGAGCTCATTACCTATACTAGGTTTAGGGTTTTTATCGTTAAGCCAAGCTAGTTTCGCTTGGACATGTTCTGCCCTACGTTTTCAGCCTAGAGAATACCACAGAGAACTTACTTCCTCTGTTGGCAAAGTCATTTTCTTATGGAACATTTTTTTATATAGATGGTGAACTCATTTGGTAACTAAAATTTTGAGTTCCCATTATTGTCACATGACAGATGGTATTAAAGAGAAGGAGGAGCATGACGAAGACAGAGACGGTTATTTAGAGGGATCGAAGGAGTTGTTGAGTGGAGATGGGGCAGAATACGATGCTGAGGCGCAACACTCATTGCCATTTTCTGAGCGAAGAAAGTACAAAAGACTTGAGGTCTACGTTGGTGGACTTGACAAGGATACGACAGAAGAAGACTTGAAACCATTGTTTGAGAAAGCTGGGGAGGTAGTTGAGGTTCGATTGATGAGGAACCCCCAGACTGGCAAAAACAGAGGCTATGCTTTTGTCCGCTATTCCTCTGCTGCCATGGCTAAACGTGCTGCCGAAGAGTTGGGAACTATTGAGGTCATCCCCTTGCGTGAATGATCTGTCTGCTACAAGATCTGCAAGTTGATATCTGTGTGCATATTATTTGTCTTGAGTTATCATGGTTGTATGTATTTCTATGTAATCCGCACTTGTCGCCTATGTTTGAAACTCAACGACTTTGTCATGCTATAGTTCCGAAAAAGGATAGTGAGTAGTTTTACGTGCTTGTGAATTGCTACAGATATGACCTTTATAAAGATATTTAGGCTATTATCAGTCCTAATTTTTCGTTGATAGTTATGTCTTATGCTATCTACGTATGTCCTTTCCCACAGATTCGTGGACGAGAATGCACAGCCAAACCTAGCGAGGAGAACGATACGTTGCACCTAGGCAATATTAACAAGTCTTGGAAAAAGGAGATGGTGAGTAGCAGCGGTGCGTGACGTACACGCGAAGATAAATTGGTGATCTTTCAAGTCTCTGAGTTTTTTATATGATGCCTCTGTGCACGTGAAGGTCGTGTTACTAGAAAATATCGAAGAAATCCTTGAAGTTCAGGTATTGTGGGTCATTCTTTGAGAAGTTGACGTCAATTTTGATTCCATACTTTTGTTGAGTTCAGGTAGTGGAGACTTTGAAGAGTCTTTGCATTGAGAGAATAGAGGAATTGACACTGATGGAAGATCCTCAAGTTGAGGGCTTAAATCGCGGCTTTGCTTTCATTGAGTTTAGCACGCACAAGGATGCTTTGGAGGCTTTTCGAAAATTGCAGCAGCCTGATGCCATCTTTGGAGCCGATCGCTCTGCAAAAGTGGCTTGGGCTCAACCTCTTTATGAACCGGATGAAGATACGATGTCTCAGGTAATTACTTTATATGAATCATTTCTGATCTCTGTATCATCTAATGTCGGTGGCATCTATTGAGCATTTTCTATGTAACTTGCTGTACTGCAACTCTGTCATCTTGGGACATTAAATCTGGCAGGTGAAATCCGTATTTGTGGATGGTATGCCTCCTACATGGGAGGAAGTAAATGTAAGGGAGCACTTTGGCAAGTATGGTGAGATAGAGCGCATTGTATTAGCTCGCAACATGTTATCTGCCAAGCGGAAGGATTTTGGCTTTGTGAATTTCGTGGAACGGGATGCTGCATTGGCGTGTATTGATGCTTTAAATAATACCGAAATCATAGATGGAGATATAAAGGTACCCTTTTCTTTCTTTCGATTTTAAAGTTTTTGACGTCCTTGGTCAATTGATGTTCCAATTCTTGTTTCTATTATGGTCTTCGTGCTGCTCATGTCTCATCGGCTTCATGTTCGACAGATGAAGGTGAAAGTGGTTCTTGCGAAGCCACAAGTCAAAAGCAAGTTCGGAAAAGGGGTAAGGGGAGGATATTCTCTAGGATTTCGAGGAGATCATCGAGTGGGTACAAGTCCTGGCCTAGTTGTAAAAGGGGGCAGCGGCGAAATGGGAGCAGTGTCTCATGACGGTACATGTCAACATGCTGGGTTCTTTAGCGTTTCTGGTTAAGTTGCATTAGAAGGGAGCACCTGTCTTGTTAAATATGCCCTCGCCTGAGATCTTTTCTACTACTAGATTGGCGAAAGGACGTAGTTCTCGTCTTTGATTTCAACTGGGATACTTATCGATGTCTATTGCTGTTTTCTGCAGCGACATCCTGGGTCAATACTGCTCGATGTGAACACCAAGTGAAACTGGGTGGGGTACGAGAATCAGAAGCAGATATGAAGACTAAAAAGGAGAAAGTCAATTATGACGAAACAGTTACCAACTCCCAGACTTTGTGCTCCATACGGGATGTAGCAACTGAAGACAGTCTTTTGTTAGAATCCGAGGACAAAATGGTATCAGGTTTAGAAAAAAATAAAGGTGTACCCGTGGACTTATCTGGCAGTAATGCCGCTGAAGCTGAAAAGCTGTACCCTACTGTTGCGGATATTGTCACTAAACCCATTCTTGACAAGTTCGAGTGTGCAATGTGCGGGTTTGGCTCAGATTCTCCTGATGATTACGAGTCCCACAAGAAAACAAAGGTACATAGAGTTATTGAAGAGTTACGGAAGGACCAAAAGCTACATAACAAGACTCCTCTGTCACTCCTGCATGAGTATGCTTCACGTAATCACTGTGAAGTGCATTACGATACAAAAGCAGAAACTAATGGTCCATTTGAAGTTACTGCAATCATTGGAGGAGCTTCTGGTGGAACTACAGGTCCTCCCACGAAGGGGTTTGGTGCTGGCCGTAACAAAGCCAGAGCTAAACAAATGGCGGCCGCTGATGTTCTTGAGAAAATTATGGAAAAAGTTCCAGAGTCCGAATTTACAAAACCTGGCCAGTCTAGACACCGTTTTGGTGATCGCGATCGTTCAGGCCGGAAAGGTAAGGTTGGTGGAGGAACTGGGGGTGGCAGCGGTGGTGGTAGTGGCAGGGGTGTTGGTGGAGGTGGAAGCAGTGCGTATCGCAACCCACGAGAACGACTGAGTGATGAATGGAGACCGGCACCGACTAGCATTAATGTTCCTGGAGCCACCAGATTTGGTGGGGTAGGTGGAGGACGAACTAGAGGGCTAGATGATAACAGTTTATATATGGGAAGTGGAGGCAGTTATCCAGGAAACCCCAACGCAATACCCATCACTGGCTACAGTAATGAAATTTCTCGCACTATTAATCGTAATGGTTATGTGGATAGATATGTTGGGCGAGGTGGAACAGGCTACAACATGCCGTTGAGAGGAGGGCGTGCTGGGCTGCCTAGTCATCCGGAAACTTATGCTGAGCGTTATGATAGAATCCAAGGTGGAAGGGGTTATGGAGGTGGTGCCTTTGCTGGGCGAGAGTATTTTGGAGGGGGAGCTGGAATTGTTGTTGGAGGCAATAGCTACGGGGGTCGGGATGTAGGTGGAGTCAGTTATGGTGGTAGAGAACTCCCTGCTGTGCTTGGTTATGGTGGCCGTGAGTTACACCCTGGAGGGGGATATGGTGGACCTAGTCGCGATTTCGAAGGATCTGGAATCAAACGCCCTTATGCTGCCATGGTATTGCCTTTCGATTTTTTCCTGGTTACTGAATGTCTCAACTGGACAATGGTTGTAATGCTGAAGTGGCTTAGTAATTCTAGCTTTCAACTCTAAAATGCAGACGTTGTGGAGTATCATTTTTGTGGTTTGATTGTTATCCTGCTGCTTTTGTTTGAGTGAGCAGGATGAAGATGCTCGTTACCTAGATGCTCAAAGAGGCCTTCCTCGACAGCGCTTGGAAGCTTTGGAACATATTCCTACTCAGCAGAGCGGAGGTGTACAGGGCTTTGGTGCGCAACCTATGTTTTCAGATGCAGCCAGGTAGACTTTTTGATGAAGGCTGTGGATAATTTGTTGCTCAAAATGTTGATGCCAAGTTTAGGTTAATGTAGTCCGATGAGTGTAGAATATTCTACAACTTCTGGTTGCTCATTTCTCATTTGGGCCGATGCATCATGTCTTTGAATCTAATTACGTGCCACTGTCTGGGTGCTACTAGCAAGCATATATGTGTTTTATTTTAGTTGTCGGCAAGAACCTGAACTGTCGGTATTTTTGTTTTTATTATTCTAAAACAGGGCCTCAATTGTTCAGCACCCGATGTACACTGATGCATCCAGGTTAGTTCTCTCGGTTTTGTGATTTATTCAATTGCATTGTAATAGAACTCTGAAACACCGTAGTTAAGATTGGTGGAATTTGTTTCAAACCCCCAAAATTGTCAGCATACTCTTTGTAATATATTGAGTGGCTGAGGATGACCGATAGTGTGTTCCTTGTGAACAGGGCTCCTGTTGTTCGTCCGCCAGAACAGCCACAATATAATGCCTATGTACAACAAACACAGGGATTATCTGTAGCTCACAGTATTGGTCAGGCGCAACACGTATCTGCACAGCATCTTTCTATTCAACATATGCCTTCTCAACACACCCCTTCCCAACATATACCTGCCCAGCACATATCTGCTCAGCATGTTCAAGTGCAACATGCTCCAACGCATGTGCATACACAGCAGGCTACCATGCCGATTGCTATGGTTGGTGGACCAGGTCAAGGAGGTACACCATATTCCGTATATGATGCAGCCCCCCAGTCAACTGTGGGCGTCCCAACTGGTTAGATACTTTTGTCTTACCTCCTCCTTGTCAAAGTTTATTGCATTGGTCGTTTATTGTTATTTGAATTTGTATAGGGTATTTGTCTGTGATAGGATAAATGGCTGTAGAATTACCAGGATGAGGATCTCATTTGCCGTTTTTTGAAGTCTTCTGCCCTTCGAATCACCTGGCTTGTTTTCACATCCTGTGTATTCACATTTGATGTAGTGTTGTTTTTGTGTCTGATGCTCTTTTCGAAGTTACGTTCTTATTTATTTATTTTCTTTTATACTGATCGAGCAGGGACTGGACAGACGGCTACTCATGCATACAGTCGTCAGTATGCTCCTACAACCCTTAACTATGCTGGCTATTCCGTCAACCAGGAGTACATGGTTAATACTGGTGTTCCGGTTCAAGAGGTGAGGTGCAGTCAGGTTTAGGGTTTTATTAAGGATCTTCTCATGGTTTTCAATTGGAAATTGGAAAACTTTTGTGGTTTTAAAGGCGTAACTCGTCTACAAACCATTTTTTCCCCATTTGTTTTAGTGTCATATATGTTTTGAGCACTGCGCAGATGACCCAGGCAACCTCATACCCAGGGCAATCAGCATATGGGACTCAGTATGGTGTACTGCAGCAGCAGCAACAGCAATTATCTCAACAAGGTGTGGGGTATGCCCTTCAGGGAGCCACGCTGCACCAGCAGTCTTATTACTAGAAATCGATGTATGTGACCTCTCTGTTGACCCATTGCTGTTTGATCTGAGGACACCACCACGTAACTTCTTTTTGGTGGCGTTCAGAATAGCGGTAATGTGACGTCTGACTGAGTGAACATTCTTATCTTATAGTTCTGTGCTAAAGCATGTCTTTGTCATACAAATCCAACATACGGACAGGACAAGTGTATGGTTTTTCTTCCCAATTTCAATTTATTGATCGCTAGATGTATGCAGAAAAAATCATTCTGAATAAGTGCCTCACCTACACGTATTCTTGATACAGATTGTTGCTTTGTTGGGATGGGTTTGATTCTAATGTTGATTTGGCTCAAACCCATGCCCTCAAGACATAAGACAGCGTCTCAGGGGTGCCAGATATCCGTGCTCGTCATGGGCAGGCAACTGGAGAATTTGAACTTTGTGGTTGCTGTGAAACTTCATACGAGTGAAGTGCATGGTGAAGGCTGAAGGAAAGAGTTTTTTTGTAAGAGAAGATGTTTATATTGGCAAAACCCGAATGCCATGGCCTGTTGTATTATGTGATACATGTTAAAACTGTGGCTGTACGATGCATTGCCTGCATAAATTCCCAGCTCATCTAATCAAATGCTGGGCTCAAGGGCATGGCATAGGGCAGCCACCAAAAACACATGCTTCTTCCCTTCAAAAGTTTCCGAGGGCAACGAAGGACAAAGACGGTCTATAATCTCTTTTTTTTTTTTTTTTTTTTTTTTTTTTTCTTGTTTTTTTCCTCCTAAACTGGAGTTTTCGCGAGAGGTACCTCAACGAGTCGGTCCTTGCAAGGCTGTAGAGTGTATGTAGCAGACCAAAAGTCTCCAGATGCAAGAGCCCAGGAAGATTTTCTGGAAATGTTTTTCACAGATTTTGTATGTTGCTGAAGAAGACGGATATTTTCGTCTTCTCTCAGAGCAGGACTGCACGTTCATTTCTGCTAACTTGGAGAACGCGAAGATCTTTTTTAGTTGACATCTATTTTGTCTTTTTAGAACAGTCTGTAGTACGTCGTTATCCATCTTACATAGTAGGATCCCGTTTCTGCCACATGGCTACCTAGGGTTTATCCGAATGAGGCCAAGATTGCCTGGTTTATTTCCACACTTCATTATTGTAATACTTGAAATTTTTAGAAGAGCTTGAGCGTACCTCTAGCGCAGTCTTACTCACTGGAGTGCTGGCTATAACGTATATGGTTCCAGGCTTGCTTTGTTTACTTTCTGTATTATCATGAATTTTAATTGAACATGAGCTATTCCTGTACTCTCAAAATGTATCTTGTTCGCAAATGGATTTTAGTTTCTAGTTGGGATGTAAAAAGTAACCCTTTATTTGGCCTCATGCTGACTTTTGTTTTAAGTTGACAGTAATAGTTTCGCAGACGTTCGTTGAGGTCAGTAAATAGTTATTTCCGTGTAACAATCTTGTACGTATGTGCCACTACCAGGTTTTGAAGCCAGGTAGTGAACTTCGTTTCAGAATCCTTTCGGTATTTTAGGTATCCTTGTCCATATCAACTCACTGCATTTGTAATTGATTAGAGAACCATGATATGTTTGATCTTTCGCTATATATTTGGTTGTGTAATGATTGAATTGTCTGGGTAGCTTTGCCAAATGAGGTCGCGGTTTAGTATTATGGCATGAGAGACATTGTGTGCTCTCCTCGGCTTTCAGAAATCGTAGTCTGAGAGCTGGTGTGGTAGTTTCTGAGATAGTATCCTTGGTTTCGTTGCAGCTTCGTTCTCCTGGTGCATGGTACGACGATGCATGTCTAGTAACAGAGACAAAAAAGCTTGAGTCATTTTCCTATTTCTCAAGGCAGGCATCGGGAAGCTGTTAGCTGTCGGAGGTGGACATATGCGTTGAAAGACAGATTTGTGCCTCTAAGGTCTTAAAACTTTGTCATGGTTGGTTCTCTGTGCGATGAATATTATTGTCTTTTCTTTTGGGTATTACGTTTGCAACCAGGTAGTTAACACAACTCAAGCATTGGCTGGTTGCTGCAGGAAAGGGTTGAGCATGCTAGCTTCTTGAGGACCCTACAGGCGATGGTGAGGAAGTCTCCATCGTTAAGTCTCCATCAGTAAGCTTGTTGGAGAACATTTTGACATCATCCTTTTAGGTATCGTCATCGTAACGTTATCGTCAATGGTCTTTGGGTTACGGATTTTTTGGAAATATCTTTGACCAATTACAACGATTTTTCTTTTATCACTTCGTTTTTCCTTATCATGTCTAGAAATTGATGTGTGCTTATTTTGCAAGCTCTGATTGTATGTACAGACAGAAGAGTTAGATTACTTAAGGATTCACAACTTTCAAGCCAATGATCTTTCAAGTATGAAATAAATTTGCCAAATCGTGAGACATTGTAACCAGGTATGTTTCCTCGCATGCAAACTCAAAGATGAGTTATTCATACTGCTGTACGAACAGATCAAGCTTTATCCAATGCGTTGAAAGATTTAGGGTTTGAATTAGTTTCCTTGACCCTGGATGTGGAGTGTTTGATCGATGGTTGCTTTATGAGAGTTTTGACAATGTTTAAGCAGAGCAGAGGAGGGCCTGTAGGTTGTACGTGGCACTCGCTGCCAGCAAGCTTTTTTTTTTTTTCTAACTTTACGGTCAGATTTATCATACCACGGGGATGAGAGCATGGGCTATTCCTCCTAGGCTTGTAGTTGTCGTTGGGGGTTTATCGCTTACCTTTAAATAGATACCACATAAAACGTTTAATTTTTACCAAATTGCTAGTGCATTACGCATGGCTGAACTGAATAAGTGGTGAAACGTTTAACTTCAAAATTAGAACTGTCCACAGTGAACTAGTGAATTTTGCCTAGATACTATGGTCGATTTGTTGTCGGCCTCTGGTTGTGGTACTGCAGGCATCAGTAGGCCAGTAATCACTGAACTGAAGTGATAGCGTATTTTTGTTCTAATCTCTCACTAATCATAACCGCAGGCCATATTTTGTAATAGAATAAATACAATAATACGTACTTAACACTAGGATTTCCGTTGAATATTCCTGTGTGTGCATTATGGGTTGGCTGTCTTGCAGTTTCAGCGAATCAACTTGGAGGGCATATCAATCTTCTGTTGTTTCATTGAAGAACATATGCTGACATGAACATCAAGTTTCTCCAGGCTTTTAATTATTATCTTATTGACCTGTAAATTTGTGTGATCTAATGCCCTTATTTAGCGTGTAGTAAACGTAATTCCATTCTAATTAGCATATTCGTACGTATCATTTGACATCTAGTGTACAAACAACGCTGCTCATCGTGACCTTGGTTGTGTGGCAAAGCACTGAATGTTTCTCTTATAGGACTTGTGAGCATAACCAATATATGTTGTTTTGCAGGATGAAAAACAGATTTATCCCTGGTCAGAGCAGCAGCTAATGTTTAACATGTTTTGGAGTGTCATGACAATGAACAACAAATTTGTTTAACAAAACACCAAACTGAAATACTTCATTTGTTTACATTGGATTTTCACTTTTAAATATTTTAATTTATTTTTTTACATAAAGTAATTGTTCTCCATTGATACAAGGGAAAATATCATATATACCCCTTGAATATGCTTAAGTATCAAGAATACTTTTGCATTCTTGATAATAGTCTTTATACCTCTAGAATTGTTGATAACAACATGTATACCCTCCACCTTGACAAAGTATTAGAAACCTAACAATTCCATTAATGTTTTCGTCTTAATATGGGTTCAAACAATGGTATTTATGATTTAGTGTGTCTAAAAAGGGGGGGGGGGTGGCTCGCATGGTGTACTCTCTTGGGTAGATTGTCAAAAAAAGAAAGAGTGTGGTAGTTGCCCGATAATGCATAGCATGCAGCTTTCTCTTTTGTACAGCATCTAGTCCTCTGTCGCTCTTGATGGTTGTCTACCACAACATTGTGTCCTCTGTCATCGTTGAATGTGATGCATGCAATCGATTGCAGGTGGAGTTTTAAAATCAGCAATTGTAAAACCTAGATTTATCAATGAGCTCATCGTGGCAAATTTTCGTTGTTAAGAACCAACGAATTGTGACCACCAACTCTAGCTAGTAAAGACATGTGATTTTGATATGTTCACCCTCTTACACTTGCTCCCCTATGAAAGCCATTTTTCATTCATAATCACCAAGCTTTGCAAAAGCCGTGATAACAACAATAACAACACGACAATGTGTCGCACATGAGTCGTTTTTTTAAGTCCAAGCTCCGCACCCACCTCACTGTGTGTTGGATTCCTTAAAACTAGTCCACAATCTTCAATGCAAATCTTTGACTAAGTTGCTATTAATTTGTTTCTACTTGATTTCTATGCATAATCTCGACAAGTGTTAGCCATGTCGCAGCTCCCAACACACCAGACAGTGATAATTTGCAACCATTTCTATTGTAGGGATTGCATTCCATTGCATTCTTTTGTTTCATATTTCTATTATATTAAAGCAATATTTCCTTGATCTACTCCAATTGATACATTCCTTGTAAGGTTGTCTAAGTTTGCAAACTTTGAGAGAGATTTTCTTTCTCCTTTTTGTTGAAACTATTAATTTTTTTTTTTGGATAATGTAAATGTATATTGTTTTTGAGAGAATGCAAACTGTTATAGAAGGAAAGACGTTAATTCTTTTAAAAAAACTTTCCTTGTTGATATTTGGCTAATTCTGCAGGAATGGTGTAGAATTGGCCTGAACAACAATTTTGTTTTTATTATTATTATTAATATTATTCATTTATTCTTCATATTATACAAAGAAATAACTTTTTAGTATCTATCACATGTTTAATACTAATTGAAAGCACTATTATGTAATTCCAACAATTATTGTCTTAAATATAAAATCTTGATAGCAAAATATATGACTTTCAATCATTTTAATCTTTAGTACTGAAATTTTTAAAAAAATTAGTAACTACTTACATTTTTTTATTATTTTTACCAAATATTATTTTATATGAAAAAGAAACTTTAATTTATGATCCTTCTGATTCAAACATTCAAAAAAATTGTTTTGGTACATATGTATATATACATATATATATATATACATACATATATACATATGTTTACACAAAGATATGTCATTATTTTTAAAATTTTTTCATATATTTAAGAATGGGTATAGAAAGTCTAACTTCATTATGGTTTATTTTGTTGAAGTTGACTTCAAATTTTAGTCAACTCAATCTGCACCGCGTATTTTATATTATATTATCAACAATTTCTTTAATCCTAAAAGATTGACTATGATGAGGACCAATGTTATATGAATTAATTAAACAGTCTATGAGTTTAAAAATAGATTGATCATACTTTTCTACCAGATTTATTGCAAATATAATCTCAATTTTCAATTTAAATCTGTTCACAAGAACAATCACTCTCAAGATATATTTACCTCAAAATTTTTCATACAAAGTTATAAGAAAAACTAATGTATAATCTTATGTCATGCTGGTTGTTTATTACTAGAGACACTTATATTCTAATTTTAACATTTTCTAATAAATGTAATTTTTCTTTTCAAATTGTATTTTCAAAAATATAAAAAACTTTAAAATTAAAATTTTATAGATATTAAAATGTACATGCTATTAATTATATTAACTTTTTTTTATTTTTTTTTTATTTTTACACTTTATTAACCTTTATATTTTAATTAATTTTAAAATTATGATCATGATTGTTACATGCATATTATCAAATCAAAATACAATTACTTGCTATTATGTTGTATTATTAATTATAGTAGTTATTGAAATTTAAGATAAAAGTGAACTTGTTGCCACTAGTTGAGCACACTGTACTAGAAGAATATGAAACCTTGTTCTATGAAATTAGAATAAATTTAGCATTTAAATTAGAGAATATTGTTTAAGAATTTCAAAGTTATAGGTGGAAAAAGGAGAATGTTTATGTTTATACATACAAGTGCCAACAGTCATGTATTTAACTTGAAATATTATGGAAGAATCAAACTTCAAGAAATGACGACACAAATAACTTGTCATCGCAATACTCATTTCTGTTTACTTTCATAGACTGACTCTTATCTTGCCACAGATGAGAGTGCTTCATGTGTGTCCAGCTATTTCTTAAGCTTTATCGTGAGTCAGCTATCACTACATACAACTTCTTGAAGTTGGACTCAAGCAATTTTTGGACCACGTTCCACCACGCAAGAGTACTCACACACAGTCGCACTCTCAGTTCTGTGAGATATATACCAAGTTGCAGTTGTAATCAAAATGTCAGTTCCACTGGAAATCCCTGGGGGTGCATCCACATGAAGGTACTCATTTCCATCATAAGTGACCTGTGCTGGTGGTAGAAAAAAACCAAAATTTATCTGAGCCTCAATTGGAAAGTAAAACTTGGGCTGAGGAAACCATTGATCCCTTGACCAGACATGCAAGTAAAACTCAATACTTTCCACATTATTTACGTTGCCATGAAAACTAATTGTTAAAACAATACTCTATTGTGTTATTTACACCTCCATTGACCAACATGTTTCCATCAATGTGTGAGACTAGGGATAAGACACCACTCTTAACCGCATAATATATGAATTTTTTCACAATTACAACCCAAAGAATAGTAACGAAAATTACTCTGACAGTACTAGCTACTACTTATGCAAACAATACCATGCAGTTCACTCAGACGAGTAGTATGTACAACAATTTTAAGGCAACACAACTGGTCCCATACATTGCCAACACATGATCAGCCATATGTTATCACAGTCACATGCCCAACGAAATCAAGCTTGCCAGACCCAATAGATAACAAGTTGATGAACCAGAATAAGCTACTCCCAAGCTCCTAGTCTCACATATGCCGATAATCTACAATTCTACTACACGCAGTTACAAAATCATCCCTGTTCAAAAGAAACACATGCATCTACCTTGCGATCATGTAGACCCAAAAAGAGGATTTATCCTTCATTAAAACACTATTTTCAATTACGGCAGTAAAAGTTAAAGTGAAAGAAATCACATCCATACTTATACTGCATAAGAGAAAAGAGCGTGAGCATGTGAGCATCAGACTCAAGCCCAAACTTAACCTGATGTAATGCTTGAATCCCCTACGAAGACAAATGAGTTGAAGTAATCTGAGTGCAAAGAAAAACACTATTATTCCCAGAAACCCAAAGAAATTAAAGTTCACTGAACACTACCAGTTGAGACCAATTTCATTGAACTTCATTGTAATTCAGTGCAAAATCCATTTCTCTCATAGGCAGAAAATTGGGGGCCAGCTCCAAGACTTTTTACATTGATAACCAGTTCTAATTATAGAATGCATATTTTAATACACCATTTATAAATATTTTCCATTAAAAAACATAGATCCAAAACTAAGAAAACTGAGGAGGTATACTAGCTAACTCTCAACCTTTCGAAGGACGTGAATTCTTCAACTCAAGGAACCCAAAGTGATTCTATCGACATGCAGCAGTAAACTCTCATCACAGCCGGGTTCAATTGAGTCCTTCGCATGTCCTTCATTAATCAAGAACCAAATAATCTGCACATTAAGACCTACATACTATGTCACAAATCTGACAGAACTGCAGTCTGCTCTCATTTTTTTAAAAAAAAAAAACAAAAACAAAAACAAACAAACAAATTCCCACCGACAAAATCCGTCGAAATTACGCTAACATCAATTCTACTAGTAGCCCAGCTGCTATCAGTGGTAATGCTCAAATATGAATAGATAGATACCAACCTGAAGACCTCAAAATAAAGAGGCTCAAAAGCAAGTTATGTCCTTACAGGGAAAATGTGATTACTTAGCTTCAGGTCACAACATGAAAACTCAGAAGAGGAGGAGGCAAATAATCACAAAAACGCCAAGAAGTAGCAGTAGCCGTGATAAAAGAGCTTCTTGCTGCTGATCGGGCATTATGGGCTGAGTACCATGCATGTGACTACCAGCCAATCCACCTGCTGACCCCAGATGAACACTAGAACCTCCCCCAAGACCACTAGTCTCAGAAAAGCCATGCAATTGGAAGCCAAAGAGGGATGGAAATAGTCCAAATCCGGCCGAGAGTGTGATGTTGCCAAATCGCGCAGTAGCGGCAGGGCCGGTAGGTCCAGCCATGAAATTAAAACCCTGGGGCGGATATTGATGCTCGGCATGTCTGGCAGTCTCTGGCCGCTGTCCAACTGGGCGGTGAGGAATGTTAAGACCTGGAACTGCTTTCGTGCGAGGATCTACGCAATTAACCTTGCCTCTCCCGTAGAGGGGAATTACCTTGTCCTCTTCGACACTGCCTTTGCATACAGGACATTCTTGACAGATGCTGTGCATTTGAAGCCATCGATAAAGACATGGCCAGCAGAACAAATGCCCACAGAGAGTCACCACAGGATCTTGAGCAAGCTCTAAGCAGATGTTGCAATCAAAACTTCCTCCTTGATCACTACTACCTGCCGCTGAAGTCTCCTCACCTCCAACTGGATGAGGATCACCATCATCCTGAACTCGAGAGCTGCCTCCATCTTCTCCATGCTTCATAACGCTCTCCTCATGCGCGGCCTCTGCACTAGAGCTACCGTATGTACGTCCAGCACTAGCGCGTACAGAAACTGTATCTTCGTTCATGCCCGTTGCTCAGAAGAAGCTTGATTTTTGAGAGGTGAGGAGGGCTTGAAAAATCCACGCGAATGTCTGGATGACACCGTGGTGCCAGTATTGAAGCTCTCGATATTTACCAAAATCAATACCAGCGACTTAATAGCCTCGTACGGAAGACTATACACGAATCCTCGCAAAGAGGTTACAAAATGTGAAACCCTAATACAAGAGAGAAACTGGTGGAGAGGTGTGCGTGATAAAAATGAGGCAGAATTGACAACCCTAGAACCCTAATAACCACTAAAAGAAGAAGGAAGGAAGTCGTGAGAATCCAATTCCAATCCCAGGAAGAAAGACCAGGTGACCATGTCAATGCAAAGCAAGCACGTCGACGGTGCACTAAGACAGACACACGTAGCGGCACTTGAAGGAGAAGTCAGCGTTGCGGCACAAGCAGGCCAGGGAAGGGAAGGAGGAAAGGAGGAATGGAAAAGCTGAACACGCACCCGAACAGTCCCAAGAGCGAGCAAGCTGGGAGGAGGGGGAGCGGTGAGGGGGGCAGGGGGTTATCGAATTGTGCATTCGACTAGTGTCCTCTTCGGGTCCTGGAAACCTACCTTCCTTCCTACACAGTGAGACGCTGGAAGTAGTGGCGGGGGGGGGGGGGAGGGGGATCGAGAGACGGAGATGCGAGCAAATCCAAGTTCACAAGAGAAAAAGGACGCGGAGCGGGAGGAAGGGAAGGGGAAAAAGGAAAAAGGAAGAAGAGAGAGTAGAGTAAAGTTAGGGAATAGAGAGGGAGTTAGGGACAGAGCAGAAGCAGAAGAAGAGGGGAAGCGTGGGAGAAGAAGGGCACAAGAACGGGGGAATGAACAGCAGCACCAGCAGCAGCACCAGCAGCAGCACCAGCAGCAGCACCGCTCCAGCTGCGACAGACAGAGGATCAGATGGAGTGCAGGGGAAGAATAATAATAACAATCATAAAAATAGTAATAGTAGGGGAAGAAGAATAGTATGGGGAAGGAATCAGAGGAGGAGGAATAACGGAGGGGGAATGGAGGGGGGGAGGGCACCCGGAAGGAAGGAAAGAAGAAAGACAGAAAGACGGACAGAAAGAAAGAAAGAATGAGGCAGAGGAGCGCAGGAAAGACAGCACAGCACATCACAGCCCCCCCTCCTCCTGGTGCCACGTGGTGGCCCATCCTCCCTTCCCCCTCTCCTTCCCTCGTACAATTGTGTCGCAGAAACTTCACTAAATCAACTGGCTCCTCCATCGTGGGCCGTCGGATAGCAGCTGCCACTCAGATGCAATCTCAATCGCTGATCGGATTTATGGGAACGGAGGGAGGGAACGTTGGGGAACCAGGGAGCGGGCAGGTTGGAGGCCAGGCAGGTTGGGAACTCAGAACCCCTTTCTCATTGAGCCTGCACTGATCCACATTGACACGGATGATGAATTTTGTACAACATAAAAATTACACGAACTATATTTTTCATTTCTGAAGAAGTTTTTAAAGAATGTATGTTTACATGTATTTATTTGTAGATAAATTTTTACAAAATATAATTATGAATTAGTAATTTTTGTACATTATCTTAATGAACAAAATATTCTTGTAATTGTATAAAGGTGCTTCTCACACTATTAGAGTTTAAAAAAGAATAATGCTTAGTATATTTTTTTTTACTTCAATAGTTTATCAAATTATTATTTTAATATTGTAAATTGTAAAAACTAAAATACTTAAAAAGACTAACATTATGAACATAAATACATACATATATATATATATATATATATATATGTGTGTGTGTGTCTGTATATATTGTGTCATTACATTAGTAAATATGGTATTTTGAATTTTAAACTTACAATGAAATAAAATTTGTAAATAATTATCAAAATACAACTAACAACTAACTGAAATATACCTCACAACTTCAATTATGTTACCTTTTCTAATACAATTGTATATGTGTAGAAGAAATTGGATATGTTTTTAGAAAATACAAAAATAATAACATAAAATATACCATGAAGATTTTTATATTTATTTTATTTATTTTTAATTATTGATTTATCTAAACTATAGTTTCTTTTAATAATATTATTCTAATCAACATCTATCACTAAATTAATGATGTTTCAATATATTTTTTTAATGCTTTTCATTTATTTTACTATTGTAAATATATTTTAGTATTCTAATTTAAATACAATATTCGTAGAAAAAAATATTTAACCTAATTTTTCTATATGTGTATATATATATATATATATATGTATGTATATATTAATTTTTGAATATAAAATGCTTGAAAAAATAATACTATTATTAAACATATATCTTATATGTAGAGAGACTTGTTAGTTCAATGTCACTCCACCCCACATTCGATCATCATCCTCCATGATGATGAGTGCGAAAGGCAGCCCATCCTTTGTGCCCGAGGAATCAAATCTCTGCCCAAGGCACTGCCCGAGAGTGAGGAGGAGGAGCATAGCAGGAGTCATATAGCAACTGTCTCGATGCTTGCCGAGGTTGGAGATCTGGCACTAGACAGTGAGCACGAATAGCAACGCATTTTTTTTTCTGTTCAGAGTGGTGTGACGGTTCATGCAATTGTTTTCCCATTTAAGCTTGAGAACTATTGTTATACTGGAGGAATTTGGAAGCTGCACGAGTGCTCTCCAATGTGAAGGCTGCTCATTCACAGTCGGGGATGCATGGATAAGCTGTGTAGAGAGATCATGGAGTTGAGATTGTAAATTCGTAGTCAGATCTGTTCCTTTGACTGTTCGCTCAATACCAACGCACATCATTTTTTTTTTATCATTCTGATTGACCTGCAACCTAATCTACTCTTTTCTCTCAAATGATGTTGATTTCAGTAATCCGATCCATCTTCAAAAACAAACATCTTCAGAACATTGTCACTGTCAGTAGCCAGCGTAAAAATCTTTACAACATCTTGGAGAAATGAACCGTAACCACCTTCAATCACTCATCGTGACTCTCCGTGCGTAGACCTCTAACTCAACATATTCATACCCAATAAATTTTGAACTAAGCACCACACAGTTTAAAGCATACACATTTTAAAACCAGCCTTTGGACATTACCCCCAGAGTACCAGCACATACTTCCCACGAAGCCAGCAGGTGCCGATCAAACAGAAAACACGGCATTCCACAAATCAGGAGTGATTGAAGCCCAAGCAGGCATAGCACACAACAAGATCAGAGAGCGTTGTAAAGCCAAGAGAGAGGAGCACCTACTTCTTTGTTCTGTGACTATTTTAATACAAGGTCATGTCTTGCTCACATTTGCATATGTTTGCACGTGATGAATGAATGTTCCATATTGCAGCCAGGTTTCAGCTTAGAATCTAATGGAGAGGTGCACGCACCACTAACAGAAAGTCACAAAATGAGTGCTGAATCGAAACATCATTCATGCTCATGCTTAGAAAACGGAGACTTTCAGCTACCATGACAGCTTTTGCTCACTTCTGCATCTGCTCTAGTGGTTCTTGTTAACCATTTTATTTTTCAAGCTCATGGTGCAGAATGTTTCGCAAGCACTCATTTTAGTCGTCTTTCAGTAATTGGAAGCATTCTAGTAGAGTGGAGCATTGCACGAATGTTTCAGCGCAAAAGTGAACTAAGACTACAATGTGGTAAATATCTTGCCTCAGTTGCAGTGCTCCACATTAGTCAGATCTTCTTTGTCATATTTTTCATTTACAGAAATCGATAATTAAACGTCACATAACCCGCGTTTAGGAGGTTGGGGAAGGTCTGCAGGGTGGACCCACGGCAGTCAAAATCTCTGTCCAACCTCATCTTACATTTTAAGAATCTAGGACTTGATCACAATTACAAGCTAGTCGGAACGGTGAAACTCATAGTTATAGACGTGTGATTCATGACTGGATGACTTACGTTGGCGGGGAACTCACTGAACATGCTTTGATTGTATGTGGGCATGCATGATGAAAGGAAGATAGCTTTAGCAACTATATTCGGGCCCAATTCCGCTGCATGGGCAATTTACCTTCCACCAAGACTGTGACCAACTAGAATAACCTGTCACATTACCCAGAAAGCACCTCTAAGTCTGAATGAGGATTGTACAGTCGATGGCATAATTCAACAATTGATTAATTTCAGTTGGAGCATCTGGGGATTAACCATCTAAAAGCCACAATCGCACGCATGACTCTACAAGCTTGCTCTTAGGAAACTACAATAAAACAGTAAGACATCTCATAACTAGGAAGAACGCAGGAAACTCACTTGACCAGAAGCATTGTTTATTGCGTCAATCAATGGCTGAGTGTATTCAGCAACCGTGGTGACATTATCAGCAATGGCTTTATTAACAGAATGAGACGTCGAATTCACTGCTGTTGCACTATGATTGAAGTGTTCCATACGAGACTGGATTTTATACCAGAACTAGGCCCGGCTTATAGAAACTGTGATTTGATAGAAACTGTAATGTTGAAGACGAACAAAATTCAGGAGCACAACCGCATGGAACAACCAAAAACAAAAGAAGTAAGGGATAAAAATAATGGACGCACCCGCAGAAGGGAGTGAGGTCGGATACGGAAGAGGAGAAGGGAGAGGAGGATGGGGCTGCCCTCCTCACACACGAGAAGAGTCTCCGGCAGTCTCAACGGGGCTGCCCTCCACGCTCGTGGGCAATGTTTTGGGCAGAGAATTGATAGGATGAACCCAAAAGATGGACTGCCCTCATTCATGGAGGATGACGATGATGGAGTGTGGAAGTGGAGTGACATTGGACTAAATTAATCATCATATAGTTTGAGAGGTGTGGCTTTAACAAAGTTGGGGTGTGGCTTTAATAAGTTCCTATATATATATATATATACAAAAATTACTTGAAAATAAATTCCATTAAATGCAACCAAAAACGTCTTTGATTTATATTATGTATATATACAAAAAAATAAATATAAAAATAAAAATTGAAGCAAAAGTGATAGTTAAATAATAGGATTGAAAGGCAACCTTTGAACAAAATAGTTTTCCTTCTCCCTCTTCAAGGACAGTGTGGAATGTCACCAAGTTGATGTAATAGAGAACAAATTCTACAACACCAAAAGTTTTTTTTTAAAAATTATACATATATCTTGCTTCCCAAAAGAGAAAAGAAAGACAAAGAAGAAAGAAGTCCTATAATTATTCAAAACTTGATATAGTTGATATTTTCATGATTTACTAAATATTTTTTAAAAAAGTAATTAAATCAAAAGAATAATTTATAGATGTCGTATTAAGGACATTTTTAAATTTTTCACGGATTTTTTTTAGATTTGATTTTTTCTTATAACATACAAGCATTATTGGATTTTAAATTCATCATTTTTTTCTTTTTTTTTACATAGCTAACTTTTTCTTCTAATTCTTATCAAATTATTGCATTGAAATAAAAATTTGTGTATTAAAAATGGAATAAGAAATTAATTTTTAATACTTTGCTAAAACACTTTATTTATTATAAATTATTTATTTTAGTTTTATGATTTATTTTTATTAATATAATTAAATATTAGAATACTTTAAATTTTTATACGATTTTGATAATAAAAATATAAGAAACTATAATAAGAAGAGTGCTTTGATTTGAAAGATGTCAAATTGACATCTTAATAACCTTACCCATGGATAAGAAGTATCAATTTCTATTATATCTTGTTTATTGTCCACTTGTTGCTTATAGGCATTGTGGACATAATATGCAAGATGCAAGACAAATTGATATAAATAATATAAGATTCAATGCTAAAGTCATCAACTTGAAGGACTAATGCTATTGATAGTTGGCTATAAAAGCAATAAATATCTATTACATTTTAGTAATATTTGAAAAAAAACCAACTACTTTTGTAAGGAATTGTTATTGCA